TGTATGTATGAATGTAACTAAACCAGTGCTGGGCAGTCAGGGCCAGCAAGGCCTTCTCTGCTGGCCTAAACACTATCAGAAGCACTGACCTATATTTACAACCTAAATTCTAATATTTGTTCCATGGAATTGTATTAATTTATTCCCAACAGTCTGTTCTCTTCATTCCGTAGTATTTCTTTTGGCTGCACTGCTTCCAGTATGTGTATCTGGATGTTAGATTTTTTGTCCAATCAGATTTCAGCCTCTATGTGTTGCCATGTCAATCTAATCTGCCCAGGGCCATCAGAATCAGTAGTGCTGGCCGATGTAACTTAAACTGTATTAGCAATCGGACTGTTTCTTTAAAACTATGTTGCCAAAGGCTTATGCTTGATAAACATTTAGACCAGCAAACAAACAAAATCTTAATTGTATCACTGATCTCATCAGGTCCCTCTTGGCCAGTACCAGGAGGACCACTTCACTGAAGACATTCCACGTATGCTGATAAAGTGTTTTCAGGCAGAACTTGGAGTGTTGAATGCAATCATCAAAGCCAGAAACAAGGGTCTGAAAGTGCCATACACATACATGGATCCAGTGAAGGTAGAAAATAGCGTGTCCATTTGAATATCAGGTGGTGTGAACTCCTCAGCTGTTGGCCAAATTCAGCTTCATAGTAACAAAAGGGATAAAGAACAGCATGTTCTGTTTTTAACTGGTTCTACAGTAGAAAGAAACTTTATGCTAAATGATGCTTTTAATATGCTGTAGCTTCACTGACTGAATTATGGTGAAAACTGTTGAAAATAACTGTTGTTAAATCTTCTTGGTCTACTTGTTTCAATACACTGTGAAAGGCAGGTTATCAAAAAAATGATAAATATTAAAAAAAGAAGGTGAAAAAAAAATCCAACTAAAATTATCTTTATAGCAATGATGATGGTGATAAGAGAATTTCCTCCAAATTGCTCAAGCTTTTAGACGGTTTCCTCTGATGCCACTGTGGAGACATTGGACCCTGTGGACACTCCTCCCGGAGACCATGAAGTACCATGGGGAATATAAAATTATTCAAAAAGATGTGCTTGAAAACGGGTTTGTGTCTTATTGTAACTTTCATCTTATTGTAGGTTATCTTGTATGCTTGGACATTTTGGTTTGCACTCATAAACCTAATTTTGTATGCACCTACTTTGAGGTTTCTGCCTGAAAACAGTGTTCTACAGGTTTGCTCATTTCAGGTTTACAATTTCAAGAGCAGTGAGAGGAAAAAAAACCTTAGATGAGCATATGTGCCAGGCTTATGGATTTCTGACATTGTGCCACGTCACCTTTTCTATGGCACCATCAATGTTGTTATGATTCTGATGTTGTCTGAATCATCTATGTACTTAGAACTACACAATCATGTAAATTGTATGTTCCTTTTCATTAATAAAGGCAGATTCTAATGGATTAACTCTGGAAAATTTGGGATCAGTATAAGTTCACTTTTATATTGTAGCAAAAAAAATGCAAGGGCTTGATATTTCTTATAGGTAGATCACCACTTCTGTCCTAACACAGGCAAGTTCTCTAAAGTTACTTTTACCCATAAACATTCAGCAGAACCATATACTTTTAGGACAGACATACTTAAGCCATACATAAGACATACTGTACATTGTCCAAACATACAGTTTCCAACATTAGTAATCAACACACTAAACTAACTTTACACTAATAGTTCCCACCATACTTGGTTCAACCCCATGACATCATTGATGATGTCAGAGAGTGTATAAAATGAGGAAGTTGAATGCCTTCTCCTTTTGTCTTCTGGAAGCACAGTGAGTATAAACACAAAGGCTACAAATGAATTTTTACAGCTTGTATCTAAATCACACAATAATGTAATTGTAACTGCGTTCTACTTTAACCAAAGATATTGGTGGTAACTGTAACAAAACATAATGCCAAACACAAACAAACCCAGAACAGCATGTGCCTGCAATGTTATTGATTAAAGGTGGAATTTTAGCTAAACAAACATTTTAGAAGTGTATTCTCGCAATATGTACAACAGCAGGACTAACCATGCTTTGTATAATTAATATGCACAATATTTATCTTTTTCCCCCAGTATGCATGTCCTGTTTGTGGCAACCACTATTAAGGATAATCACCCTTATTTGGCCATGTTACACACACACAAGGAATTTGTTTCTGGTACAGAACCAAGGCCGCCATCAGCAGCGCCAACTCACAACGATGGCTCTAATCATCGGGGGCAACTTTGGGGTTTAGTGTCTTGTCCAAGGACACTTTGACATGTGGACTGCAGGCACTGTGATTCGAACCTCCAACCCTCTGGTTGGGAGACAACTGCTTTATCCACTGAACCACAGTTTCATGCCAGTATACTGTATATGCCAGACTTCAACCCACTACACAAGTACATGTGTTTATCAGCGCTGGTGAAATTAAAGAGTTTAACACCAGCATGTCAGAGCATGATTTTCTCTTACCTCATTGTTCTCAGGAAGGTTGACAAGACTCAGTCTTTCCAAATTCCTACAGCTTGTTTGGGGGTAGACTTGCGTTGTCTTCAGAGTGCAGGATCGTTGCCTCCCTCGGTGAATGGTTCCAGATCGGCCTGGATTTGAGGCAGCTTGTTGGATCTAGCACCGTCCTCAGGGCTGTGGAGGACGCTCCACAGGCCCTCTCTCCTGAAAAGAAAGACGAAAGACTGAGTTACTTTGTTTTGGAAACCTCTGTTCCACATTACACTTTAATTTGCACCTTAACTCCAAGTAAGAAAAGAAAATACAGTAAAAGTGAAGGATATTACAGTGAAGCCAAAAAAAAAATAATAATTTAAACCAAAAGGGCAAGCAACAGAACAAGATGGACAGTGTTTTAGTATCATACTAATATTCTTTCAAGTTAACTAGTAAAGTTGGTTTTGAAGTTGCCCTTAAAATGGCTGGAATCCCACAGTCTGCAATACAGGAATAATTAGGCTACTAGTATGACTCATAACTGGATTTTATAGAACTGTGTAGCCTATTGTACAAAATAGATATGATTCCACAACACTGTAGTCTTTAATGCACCAAAGTTGCTTAAGCAAATTAGGTTTCACTTATTCCAACATTTAAAAGAAAACAATTAGCAAAAATAAAGACTGTGCATACTACCTGGATGGAAAGCCATGTTTCTTTGCAGCTTCAAGAAGATGGATGCCTTGGCTGTTTGGAGGAATGGGATCTGTGACAAATGTAGAGATAACTCAGTAGGCTACTCAGAGTTATTTACAAGGTGACTTCTGCATCATACATTCCCGTTCTTCTTCTTAATTATTACATGAAATTTCAAATGATTGTAAATGAACAATGGGGTGCACAAACTTTTGTGAATTGTAATTTTGTTTTATTGTTGTGTTTTGTGTTAAGCACTTTGGTCAGCTGTTGCTGTGTTAAATGTGCTATATAAATAAAGTTGAAATGAAATTAAATGAAAATTATAAATATAAATTAAATCTAATTTCCCACACAATATCAAATTGCTAACTTACTGTGAAGATGTTAGCCATCAGTATTACAGATGCAACACTACAACTTTTTAATAACACAGTACTGACTTTAAACTTTCAGTTTAAGGCACAATGACAAACTTACCAACCATTAACAACCATTATCATACTACATTTCATTCTGACCCTGTGTTTACATATGCTGGGTACAAATGCAATGTGAAACCAGTTAATACGCTAATATGCACATCTTACAGCTGCTGTCTTAAATGCTATATAAATGGGTTAGAATGGCACAAAGAATGAAATGTATTGTTTAATGTTAGTTATAAAATGAGAATTTGTGCATAAAGTTGATAAAGGATTAACACTTTTGAAATGAGTTCATCAGGAAAACATTATTTGAGAAATGACCATTTGACCTGAACTTGTCAGTGGCAGAAGAATAACAGTACTCTCTCTGACCTAAACCACCACCACAACCGTATAATACGTTTATCACCTGATCAACCTGCGGTTGGTGTTGATGTGTAGGATTGACAGGGGCCCAGAATAGTGTTGGTTGTTCTCACAACAAACCCAAGACCATCTACACAGTGCATGGAATCCCTTCCCCCATCCACTGTGTCCTAATGCCTTCACCATCCTGTGGCCTATTGGACAATACATTGAAAAAAAAAAAGAGTTAGTCCTTCAATGTCCTAGTTTTAACAGTTTACTCTGATCAGAGAAAGTCAAACCTGTAAACCATTACATGAAAATCATCATGAATTCAGGAAAAGTAAACCTCTTACTAACTAAATGCAAATTTCACACAAATAAGATCATTACATTGTGGTACTGCTACTTAAATAAAGATTTAAGTACTTCTTCCACCATTGAAAAAGGTACCACTTTGCCCACCTGGTAGTAATTTGGGCTGAGTTCGATGGAGGACATTTCC